ACTACTACTACTACGAGTACTACTACCAGTACTAGTACTAGTGCTAGTACTACTACTAGTACCACTAGTACACTACCAATACCACAACAAACACTAATACTGATAAGAATTCTCATGCTAATGCTAATATGAATGTCATACTATGAATATGAGAATTAAAATCAGTTTTTATATCATACTATGAATATGAATATTACAATCAGTATACATACCAAAACTAAGATTAATCTTAGTATCAGGATCAGTTTCCATATGCCCTTCTTGCTAAGAGGCATATCCATATTCATATTGTTCTGCATCTGCATATTTTATGATAAGGAGTATTAACATTCATGTTCAAATTGATACTACTTCTAAATCTAATAATACTAACAATATGACTGTCATGTGTAAATACTGTTGCAGATACTAATACTAGCACTAACATTAATGTTTCAATTACAGTAACATTAGTCTAGATAGTAACAAGATTCGTTATACTGAAATTAACATTACTACTAATATCAGCATTAAAATTAATATCAATACTGATGTTGATACTAACTGCGAACAGTCCTCGATGCCTCGTACAATTCGTGGGTGTCACGTCATGAATGGTAATTAGAGCTATGAGAAGTAGCGCCACTGGGTCGGTTCCCGAACAGAGTGCGGTTACTACAAGCGTGAATGCGAGCGTGCCGCCAACATCGTAGCTCAAGAAGGAGCTAACAAGCTCAGCATTGTGAGTAGCAAGCGACTCAGATCTAGAGACAGCTTTCGAGACATCCCTCTTGCAAGGATTTGATTCAGTCCAAAGTTGGCGCCGAGAAAAGAGTGTGCGCGAGTGTGTATCAAGGGCAAAGGGAAGGTAGTGCAGCGACTCCGTCGGGACCTACCACAAAGTCGTCAATCCACCACTGCCAATTAGCTCTGTGAGGGGAGCAACAAAAACAACATCGGATAGAAACCCTCACGCAGGTTATCAGCCGTATTGATCGGCTTGTCGACGAGGAGATAGTGATCGACAAAGCGCCGGATACGACAATGACCTTCGGTGATGGTGCTATTGCCCTACCAGCTGCGGGCTGCGGGAGATTCTACAGCTGATGAGCCGGTGGCGCAGTCAGTCTCCACTGCGGAAGAGGACAAGGCAAAGCCTTCCCCTTCCGAGCCATCAAATCCCACAAGAAGGACCAAATCTTCACCGAGGATGAGTCCAACGTCGCGTCCATCATCTGCAAACACAAGAGCAAGATCAGCAGTGAGGAAACCGACCAAGTCGGTAGTGCAGTGCCCACAGCAATCAAGAAAGTCAGGAGACCGTGATCTAAGTGCTTCAGAGAGACAGCGACCGAAGTCTTCAAGAAGTTCTTCCCGAAGATCCGTGCCTTCGGCAGTATCCAGACCGGAAGAGCAAATATCGATATCGCCCACATCGAGACAACAATCGACACAAGGAATGCCTTCACGCGTTCCGAGCATGGATCGTACTGATCCAATGCTTCAGCTCGACGATGCACCGAACGCTCTTCCGATTCAAGACGTCCCTGGGACTGTGACTCCCGTTGCAGAAACTATCATCAGACCGTCGGAACTGGCAGAAGCGAAGATGCAGGAGAACCAGGAAGCGGAGACGTTACATCATGAATCGATCGCGAATGCACTGATGCAGCGGATCGAGGAGATGAGTCAGGCAGACCATGGAGCAACTTTGCGCATTGAAGAACTGGAACGACAACGAGATTTTCTGAAAGAGGCGATGAGACACATCAACCAAGTGCACATGAGCTCTCGTGGAGAGTACGAATTGGCTGTATTCAAGCTACAAGAAGCAAGCCAACAGCAACACGTGCGAGATCGGGAAGCCAATGAACCGCCACTGATGCAACTGAATCACCTTCGACGTGAAGCAGCCACTGGATATGTCCAATATGAAGAACGAGCACAGGGCGAAGGGCTGAACATGGCTCGCGAGTACGAGAATCTCGCGAATGAGTTGAACGAGATGGCCAGAGAGAACATGCAACTCAAAGCAGCTGGGTCCTGTAGCGAGGTTGTCGTCCAGAAGATGAAGGACAAGCTTCAGGCAGCGAAAGAAGAGGGACTCTACGTTGCGAGTGAGATCCGAGTGGAGGTCGATGACGTGAAGATGGGCATACTTCGAGAACAAGACATGGCATTGAGACAGAGAGCTGAGTACAACATGGCACATGATCGCCTGGTACAACACTTGCGGCGTGAGGAGGAGATGCAATCTGCAGTCAGGCTACAGATGCAAGACGCCGAGATGCAACTACAAGCACGCTTCACTGAATGCCAAGCTCTTCCTGCTATTCAGTCGCAAGTGATGGAACTTCGCCAGAAGTTGAAGCTGAAGGAAGAGATGTATGAGAAGGTGAGGAGTGAACTGGAGTTGCAACGATGCATACCTCTTCAGCTGAGTTCTCAAGCCCCGAGCTTGCCTTTGTCTTCGAAGACGTCTGAAAGCATACATCAGTTTGGCATGATGTACACGAAATCCCCGTTCGTGACCCATTGGTGTCTTCGAACACTTTGGACGTTCCAGCGACAGTATATTCACGGGACGTGAACGGCGTCTTCTTGAAGAAGGCACGAAATGCAGGATCGTCAACTACGTGAGTCACTGAGCGGCTTGGGCATGGGAAATCAGGCATCATCTTCTTCTTCATCAAGAACGGTGCCGCCAAAAGTTCCTAATCTATTCATGGAGCCAGAAGAAGCCAGTCAGAGAGCTGTTGCGAGGTTGATAGCGGAGGACGTGCGTAATGCAGACGCAAGATCAGTGGGGCAGCCGTTTGTGCCATCGGCGTCTCGGCCAGACCCATCCAATGGAACGCAGGCCATTCAGGAAGATCGGAAGAATGTTGAGAAAGACTACATTGCACCGATGGTTGAGCTTCGAGTTCTACTACAACAGGCCCAGGAGAATGAACGTCGACTTCGAGACGAACGAAATGAGTGGCGACAAACCGCTGTGTATCTCCAAGAGTTGGCTGACCAGGAACAAGGTGACGACGAAGAGGACGACGAGGAATGTGACTCGAGTGTCCACCCCTCGGACTGTCCAAATGGAGGAAGCGGCCCACCAGATAGCCCAAGCCGACGCGGAGCTGACCCTCCGAAGACGCCGAAAGGACGTGATGTTCCGGGTGATGAACCGCCTGATCCTCCTCCACCTGGTGATCCAGATGGTAGAGATGATCCGGAAATCACAGAAGTCAAGATTTCTCGTCGAGAAGCCGACAAAGTTGTTGTCCCGCCGTTCCCGAGGGTGACACACCTGGACAATTGGAGGACACAATGTTATGCAAACGTACTGGGTTCCTGCTGATCCTAATCAAGAAGATTGGATTCGGTGGTTGGAGCCAGCATTTCAAGTACTCCCTGACATCGAGGCGTTGAATGAATCTGGACATATCAAGTTCAAAAGCATTGATGTCAAGCTTGCAGCCGCTATGGCTATGACATCCCTGTTGAGGACAGCAGGTGATCAAGCATCAGATTTGCTTTTCGAAGTCATCCGCAAAGCCGACCAGTATGTCAGGTCATCCAGTTGGAAGATCATCAAAGGTCGGCAGATCATCGCGATGATGTATGAAAGCTTCCGAACACGAGACCGATTGGACTTGATTGTTACTCTCGAACAGACTCGAACACCTGATCAAGTTACAGTGTCCGGGTGATGCCAAGCTCAACGTGTTCAAGCAGACGTGGTTGGAGGTAATATCACGCATGCGACCCGAGGATGTCCCATCGGAAACAGCTCTTCGTGACGCTCTACACAGCAAGATCAACCATTCTCCCACGCTGAAGATGGAACTTCTCGTCCATGACGACATGTTGCCCTACGATCATCAAGGCAGGACATATCAAAATCTACTTGGTGTGATTGATCGGTGCGTTATGAGACAACGTGAGAACAAGAATCAGGCGCAGACGCATCATGGACTACGCCAGATGATCGAAGGCAAGGACAACTTGGCGGCTCCAGCCAACACAGCAAACAAGGACAACGAGAAGGAGAGCGCTACACCAGCGCCAAAGAAAGGAGCGAAGAGCAATACGAAGAACGAGGAAGCTGCTCCCGTCCTGCCACAAAGCAAAGCGAAAGGTCATGCCAAAGCGAAGCACAAGGACAAGAGGCAGAAGGACAAGGATAGGTCACAGTCGAACGACGACAAAAAGGGTGAAAGGAGTTTGGAGCATGGTCGATGCAACTTCTTCCTCTCCGAGCGTGGGGAATGCCCAAATGGAGATCGATGTCCGTTCAGTCACTCCAAGAAGACACCTCCGTCACGGGGACGTGACGGGTCACGATCGCCTGGTCGATCAAGATCGTCGAGCCAATCTACAAGTACGAAGCACAAGGTATGTTATTTGTTCAAGAACACTGGCTCTTGCAGAAGGGAAAATTGCCCTTTGCACACGTCAGCGATTCTGCTCCAGCCAAAACAGCAGAGGCTAAGGCAAAGGCCAAGGTCGAAGCAAAAGCCAAAGCAGAGCCAAAAGCCGAAGCAAAGGGAAGAGCCAAAGGAAAGGCAAAAGCTCAGCCAGCAGCTCCCGCCATTCGACTATTTTTGTCGAGCTTGGAATCCACTTGCGCCCGCCGTCAGAAAGAGGGCAGTCACCTACGACGACGAGGAGTCGGATTGTTCATCTCTGGACAGCGACGCGGATTCTGACTGCTCAACCGAGGATGAAGCTGAAGGTGTGACTTCGTCGACCTCTTTTCATTCGAAAGGTAAAAGGGTACAGTATCCTTTTCCGACTCAGTGCGATTTCAGTCGTACAAAGGGAGAGGGGGAAAAAGTAAAGCCGGTCAACGTCAATGCCATCATCGACAGTGACGATCGGGCAGCGGAGTTGGGTTTTGCGAAGCACATTGCAAGAATCAAGGATGATCTTGGATATGATTCACAACGATGAACCGGGTGATCGACATGGGCATGTTAGGATTCCAGGAACTTCCAGAGTCAAACATTGTCTACTACGATGGTGACGATGAGATCATGGAATGGAATCTAAGTGCCGCGGATAGTCGTAAGGCTCTGAAGCATGATGCAGAGATGTGCACGGTTCAGCCTACTTGGATAAGGACAAAGATCAAGTTCCTCATGGACACAGGATGTGGTCACGATCTCACTTCTCAGCGCAAGGTGGACAAGCGTGACCTTGAGACGCTCGTGAGTCAGGAACCCATATCGTTCCAAACGGCGAACGGGGTGACCGACTCTGACATGCTATCCAACTTTCAGACGGAATCATTCAAGGTGCCTATGTTCTTGCGGATACACCGTCGGTCGTGTCTGTTGGCAAACGGTGTGTGAACCAAGGATATGGATGTGTCTGGCCACCTGTTCGTGAACCATTCATGATCAACCCTGGCGGAGGACGCATCTCTCTCTTCGTACATGGCGACATTCCATACGTTCGGGCAGGAAGTCAAAAGTCTGTCGCTCATGAAGACAAAGAGGCAACTGCAATCAAGATGGTATTCGAGCAGATTGACGAGACAGCTTCTAAATCCACAGCTCTTCAGGCAGCGGCTTCAGCAGAAGCGGCGCCAGGAGAAGAGGAACGGGAAGGGGAAGATGGCTTCGTCGAAGCATCCGATCCCGAACCCGTACCTGACGAAGCTCCTGATGAGGAAGTTCCTGCGGCTGAAGCGGGAAGACCTCCTGATCTACCCGGGCGCGTACGAGAGGATGATGATGAACGAGTTGATCGAAATTGAGAGTGAGGAGAAAACCAAACATTGGAACCCTCAAGGCCGAAGCCAAAACATTGGCCCATTTGTGTATGCACAGATACAGGAACCCCTACTGTGATGTGAGGCACGCGTACGCGCGAAGATGAAACATTACCGCGAGGTACGTGGTGCCTTCCACCGAGACTTGAAAGCATTGGGGAGATCTCATCACATCCGACTTCCTCGACATGCGCAAAGCAGCTGACATGGGAGTGGGATTAGATGACGAAGCTCGCGAGATCCTAGTTTTACAGACAAATACCTACCATCGTCTACCGTTCCTCCGGAAGGTAACGCAAGGGGTGGTCATCTAGGTCACGACGACGTTGGACCATCTGGAAGACTTATTCCAAAGACTGATGAAGAAGATCCAAGTGCCATTTTGGCTAGATTCAGGGATCTTAAACTCGTTTCCCAGGACGTCGATCATTGGAGTAAAGGAAGAAGTGGCGATGGAAAGATATACCTCAACGACGTCGGTGAGGCGCGCGCGATCGACAGAAGAGGAGTTCCTTACAAGACAAGAAGTGACGGGCGTCGGAGAGTTCAATTTCTTCGTCCTATTCACAGATTTACCCCCGAGGAATGGGATGCACTGGGCGTCAAAGCTCGTGCTGCAGCCTATAAGAAGGATAAAAGGGAGAAAGCCGAGGCTGCGAAGAAGGAACGGAAGTAAGTCGCAGTTGGCAAGGAGGTGTTCAACGATCTCATGAACAACCTTGTGTTCCGCAAGATCGTGCTCAGGACTACTTTTGACAAGACCCCAAGGTATACTCGCGGCAATCCAGGTGACCCTGTCAATGGAATGCTCGTGGAAGGTGACCTACTGAAAGTGTGTGGTATGATGCTCAAGTTCGCAAGGCAGGCTGGCTATGGTGTTCGAATGAACAACCACGACGTTCAGAGAATGTCTTCCAACAGCAGCGGAGAGGAACCCAAGTTGCTGAATTTTCACGATGTAGCTTTGATGCTGATGAAGATTCCTCAGGACGTGGACTATCCGTTGGCTTATGCACTTACGAATATTTAAGCATTTTCATTCGCGTTGCATGTCCTTCACTCCTACCTGATCCATCAGAATCCTGATGGGACACCGATGTACCCCGGGACTCACCAAAAGATGGAGGGTATGACATGACAGTGTACGAGTACTTGGTCTACCGCGCCGATCAGGTATGCCAACCACAGAGCCAAGGTGGACTTCAGCTTCCTGTTGGCTATCGAAACTACGCATGGAAGCAGTTAGGAGTCGATGATGGTCGTTCTGAATGTTGCGAAGACAGGATGAAAGCTATCAAAGAGTGGTCACAAGAATTCGAACGCATGGATGCACCACGACCCCCACTGGAAGGCGACAACCTGTTTCCTCCGAACCTTGGTTCTCATCCTACCTGGGTGGTCACCTCAGGCCGTGCTGCCGCAACTACTGCAGGTGGCGTTCGAGGCCCTCGCCGTCCCGGAGAAGAAGAACCTCGTGGATCCAGAGAAGCCGCTCCAGAACTGCTTGTAGTTGACCGAACCCACGCCCAGGAAGGAAGGAAGGAGTTTTAATTGTAGGAGAGGGATTTTGTGAAACAGTTTTCCTTTTCTGCATTTGCCAGTTTGCATGTTTGCCGCCAGTTAATGTGCTGAGTATATGTCATGCTGCAGGCGCTTTGTTCCGAGGGTGAAAACATTCATGGTAGCGGAGCGCTGGCCGACGAGTGCTTCGAGACACGTCTTCTGGTTTCTTGTTGGTTCCGTGTTCAGGGGCCAGCGTGGAGAGATCTTTGCTTTGGCGTGTCATTGTTGACGTTGGACCTTCGGTGAAGTGTAGTGGGTAGAGCATCGAAGCCACGGCTGCTCCTCCCGTCCTTGCGTGGGACAAGGATCCCTTGCTCAGCCAGAGCAAAGAACGCTTCTTGTATCTGCTTCGTGTGCAGCTGAGCTTGAAAGTGCGAACCCCGAGCCTCAGTGCATTTTCCTTCAGGCAAAGGCAAGAAAGGTATCTTGCAAAGCAGAGGCTTGCTGTAGAAGCCGCGACTTCACTGTCTCAGGTTACTTCACTGGCCAATCGTGTCTTGAGTGAATTGCAGTGTGTACGCTTCAACAACTGGGTATCGGGTAAGACCTTTGCCCTTGGGTTTGTTGCAAAGCGCAGAGTCTTCAAGCGTAAGCTTAAGAGGGCCGCCCGCTGCATTGATCTTGACTGATCAGCCTTGTGTGATTTAACGCTATCCGCAAAGAGCCCAATACCACTGTGTGATAACAATGTCTGCGCATGGAAGTCCGGTTTCCCAGCCTTCAAATGTGCCTTTGGACGATGACGACGATGATGATCTTGGTGACCCGTTTGCTGGGCCTGCAGCTCAGGCAACAGGTTCGCCATCAGGCTTCACTCAGCCTGCTGCACCCACTGCAAGCTTGCAGCCCGGGGACATGCAAGCGATGCACACGATGGTGATGTCGCTTGCTCAGACTGCGCAGCAGACCTTGATGATGGTCTCCCAGCAGAATGCCAGAGCACAGCAGCCTCCTCCTGATTCCAGCGGTGGGTTTAACTTAGCCAATAAAGTCCTCAAGTATCCAGAAGCGTTTGGCAGTGAGAATGCCGATCAGGATGCTCTTGGGTGGCTAGCTTGGTCAACTAGTTTCCGTAACTGGGTTACTTTTGCCGAACCTGCTTACGAGAACGATTTGGCAGAAGTGGAGCGCCGCCTGACAGACATTCCTCATGTGATCAACATGCCTCCTGTGTGTCTTGAGCGAGCCAGGAAGCCTTACGTGATCTTGAGCTCTGTCCTGAGAGGTCGCCCCTTGGCCATACTTCGTGGGATCGAGGACAGAAACGGCTGCTGGAGACAGCTGACATGCCAGTTCAGCCCCCGCACTCGTGCTAGATCTCTTGCCATGCTTAGCGCTATCATGGGGTTGCCAGCGTTTAACCGCGAACGAACGCTGCGGGAACAACTCATGAGCTTTGAACGCTTGATTTTCGAGTACGAGAAGGCTTCGGGAAACACACTGCCAAGCGATGTCAAATTGTTTGTTGTGCTTAAGGCCATCCCTAAAGCCCTCCAGTCACATGTTCACTTGAGAATGGATTCCTCAACAACTTACGAAGATGTCAAGAATCTTGTGCTGTCGTACGAGATTAGCACTACTAACTGGAGCACAGCTAGAGTGCAGCAGGAGTTGGATTTGTTGAGTCCTTCCAAGGGCAGCGCTGCCATGGACGTTGACCAAGAAGGGTCCGTGTCCCAGATAAAAGGGCAGGAAAAGGGCAAAGGCAAAGCAAAGGGGAAAGAGTCCAGCAAGGGCAAGGGCAAAGATAAAGGCAAAGGCGAGAAGGGGAAGTCTAAGGACACCCCCAGCCCTAAGGGTAAAGCCCAAGCTAAACCTAAAGCCGCCCCTGATGCCGAGTGCCATTACTGCCACAAGAAAGGGCACTACAAGAGGGATTGCAGAAAGTACAAAGCCGATCTGGCGTCAGGCAAGGTGCGTGCTATCACCGAGGATGATGCTGGCGACACGGGTGCAGCGCCATCCAACGCAACGCCAAAGGCCGCTGTGAAGCGCATCATGTTTGATATCCGCGGTGGTGCTGACAGTTTTGCCTCCCGCTCGTCTGTGTGCGCCGTTCGTGCTGCGCTATGCCAGTCAGATCCGGTTGCAGTTCAGAACGTTTGCCAGTCAGATCCGATTGCAGTTCAGGACGTTTGCCAGACAGATCCGGTTGCAGTTCAGGACGTTTGCCAGTCAGATCCGGTTGCAGTTCAGGACGTATGCCAGTCAGATTCGTGTGCAACAGCCGTAGCTGGTCAGGTGTCCCAAGCCAATTCCGTGCTCAGCCTTCCAGTTCAGTTTGACATATGACAAGCACTGATCATGATGACAACTGGGACCTCAGTCCAGCCTCGACTCTAGTGCGTGTGGCAGCCATCAGTCGGCCTAGTCTTGACCAGCCTCTTGAAAATTTGCGTCGATACAGCTGCCGATGAGTCCTGTCTTCCGTTGAGCTTCGGTCTTGTTGGATCTCGTGCTTCAGGTGAACCGCCCATTGGTTGATTGCCAGGGCAACGCCATCCACGCCAAAGGCAGTAGGCTGGCCACGCTTGAAGCTTCAGGTGTTGAGCTTATGGAACGCTGGGTTGTCTCTCCGGTTTCTCAGCCGATTCTAGCTGCTGAAGCAAGGTTG